AATCTGGCCAGTACAACCCAGAGGGCTTCAGTGCCAACAGTAACTGCAATGCAAAGAGTAATATCATCAGGGGACATGTCAAGGCTGAGGAACAACACATAGAAATTATGATCTAATAGAGGGACTGGGAGGAGAGTGAGGATTCACCCACCTACTAATGATAATTATTGATGGGAAACATGCTTAGTCACTTGTGCACAATTTCATGATAAGAGTGCCAGAATGATGCTTCCTCCTAGAGTTTCTTAGAAAAAGGCTGTTGTTTTCTCCACTTTTTGTTTCTGAAGCAAACCAGCCCTCACACTTCCTTCTACACCTGCCTGTCTGGGACCAACTCACACATCTATGCATTTGCACAGGCAGTGAGGAATAAAGTAAGTGATGTCAAGTAGCAGCTGGCTTCCACTGAAAGTGGAGTCACCAGCCCACAAAAAGGGCAGAAAATTACTCAAGCAGAAGCAGCCAACAGCTTGTCGTCAGCTTAGGGATATGCACTGGTTGATGTGGGATCTGAGCAGCTCCCAGAGCCAGCATGTGGGAGTAGGTGGGCTACCTACACCCTGGGCTACCACCAGAAAGGTGGAAGAAAGAGCAGGATGTGCCCTTAGCACCAGTGAGTCCTTCATCTGCCTAAGTCCATCCAGCCCATGGCACCTTAATGGCTGGATTAAGATGTCCTTTCATGGAAGCCAGTTTATCAGGTCCCAGACTCTTCATCAGCTGTTTATGATGTGCAGTCCCTTTATGGGAGTCCGGCAACAGGTGTTCCCCATACCTTTGTGGTTTCTGAGGGTGGGAGAGTGCTGGGGTGTAGCCTCCTCCCAGCACACCTGCCACAGGGCCACGAGGTCAGGTGAAGGCTCCTCTTGTCTCAACATAAAGTTTCTAAGGACAAAGATGCTAATGGGGAAGTGGTGTTTGCCACAGAGGAAAAATGAATTTGCAATGTGATGCTTCTGTAGGAGCAGTCCTGAGACCCGGGAGAGGTGTTAGCATGAGGCAAGGCCTCTGCCAGGATGCAGTCTTTTGAGAAGGTGACACACCACTCAAAGCAGAGACCAGTGATGGATTAATCCAAACTCTTCGGAACAGAAGGTTGTGGTGAACCAAAAATATGAATCAAAATATTCAACAGCTTGGGGAGTCTGATTGCATTCATGCATGTAATTACAGGTTGAAAAATATAGTAACTACCACCTTACTGGCTCCAGAAAAGTCTCTTAGTGTTGTGTTAAGCAGCAGCTTGTGAGATATCCAAAAAAAGTGATCCCACCAGGGTTGTTCATCCTCCTCTTTTGCCACCCTTCCCCATTCTAAAAGGTCTGATTTAATAATTGTTGTTGCTTGGAGAGTGCTCAGATGTTTCATCATATTCGAGTTCTGAGAGTGCACAATTGAGGACTCTCCCTCAGTTGAATGAAAGGCCCTTTTGACATTCTGATTCAGGCCTGGCATTCAACAGCATGAACAGAACTGCAAATCACACCCCTGCTGTCAGAGGTGCAGGTTCAGTCAAGGCAGTCAGTTGCACACTATTATCCCTGTGCTTCATTTTTCTTTGTCCTTAGGGTTCTGCTTCTGCATCACACACTTACGGCTTTCATCAGAACTACATCTTCTACCTCCATAACACCACTTTGCTAAACCAGAGGCTTTCTTTCACCAGGCATTATACTGTCAGTTCACATTTACAGAAGAGTTTAATGTTCAGTTTGTACCCACATGCTTTCCCCAGAAGGAAGACATCTGCACAGAGGGAACAGTCAGAATCCCTTACTGCACTGTATATGTTTGCCAGAACATGAAAACTTGTTGCGTGTGTAATTTTAAAAATTATTCTATTGTCTTACAAATTATAACTCTGGAAGAGGGACTGTGTCGTAGGTAAATGAAGATCAAAGCCAAATTCTGATCTAACTTGTGCATTACAGAGAGAAGAGAGAAATGTCATTGAGCTGCCAGGCTTGGACTTGAACGAGGTCAGTCAAGAAATGATAGGCAAAGCCCTTGGGAAACACATTACGCCCATCACCCTGAAATCCACAATCAAAAGCAACCCCTTGTATAGGGATATCCAGGTGGATGATGACTGGGAGGAGAAGAAAAAGACTCCTTCCTGGACTGTGCAGGACTATGACAGACACTGGCTGCACTCTAACTTGGCCAGCCACATAAAGGTAATGTACTGTTGTATTGCATTTGAGCAAAGTGAACTGCTATGAGCTGTACGGTGTTTGCATGAACCACTGCACAGCCTACTTGGTTCTTTTGATGAGATTCCAGAAGTAAATATGGATGTACTTCCCAGTACAGACATGACACCAACATGCATCTGCTCAGGAAAAGAAGTCTCCATATCTGGTTAGACTCCAGAAATTTCAGTTCTGCACAACAAGGCCTCTGTGACTAGAGAAAGTCTTAAACCGCAAGACCTCGCAACCCATCTTCCCAAATTATATAGGGAAGAACTATAAACAAGGCACTTGAATACTATATGCCTACTTTAATAACTGTTCACAACATCATTCTGATACCAAACAACACGCATATTGTCAGCCACATCCACACTATGCAGGATCCTGTCTCCCTGTGGGTTAACACAAATCACTTTTAGGTTTATTTTTTTTATTTTTTTCTGCTGTTGCCTTTTCTGGAAAGGTACTCAGGTCTGTGTTTATAAACCAGCATCTTTTCTTGAGAAGACAACATGGTTTCTTCTGGGTTTTTTAATCACATTTCAACGGCTGGTGTCCTACATTTGGTTCCTGGCTAAAAAGCATGGTTTTAATTTTCCTCAGTGGAACATTTGCAGCATCTGGCAAGTAGCACAATCTATGTTCAAGTGAAAGTTTCTTGCATTTGTGTTGTGATGTCTTAAATTCATTAATCACTATCTGATAATAGCCAAAATACTTCTGGCTATGTTATAATGACTTTATGTGCTAGAGAGAGGAACTGAGTTCATTTTCTGATTTGTCTTCTAGGAAAATCCTAACGATCTACAGTTCTGGATGGGAGATATTTATACCCCTGGGTATGATACCTTGTTAAAAAAGAAAGAGAGAGAAAGAAAGCATTCCAAATGTTGCCGAATGATCATGCTCATGGCATTAGCTCTTTGCATCCTGATTACCATAGTCACATTCAGCATTTTATTTACTTAGTACAGCCAAGTGATGATGGGAATTTTCTCAATAAATGCTTTTATTAAGCTATTCCCCTCCCTTGTCTTATTTGTATTCCAGTTTTTTGTCACAAATACAATTTGTTTGACATCACTATTTTACAATGTTCCTGTACAGCACAAGGAATTGGTCCTAAAAAGAGACAAATACTCTGCACATGGCAGATTATCTCCTTATGAGTATAATTTAAAAAGAAAACTATAAATATGCTACCTTTCTTAGTGCTTTCTTCTCTGGGCTAGTGATTTGAGTCAGTATGTGTCATGTCGTACACATAGTGTGTACAGACAACCAGCTAACTATTCGTCCCTATGAACACCTACCATCCTGTCATCTTTTTATGATAGCAATTACTGGAATATAGAAAAGTATGATAAAACAGCATTCAAGGTATCCCAAGAATTCTAAAGAAATATTTGTACATTACCTTTAGGGACTGAATGCATTGCTGCAATGATGCAGCACTCAGTAAAAAGCTAGCCTAAATGCATAAATGTTGCATTACACTTCTCAAAGAAGAAAAAAAAAAAAGGTAGACCACTGAGCTTCTATCAAAAGAATTCTATGGGACCTGAGGTGGGGTTTCTTCATCTCTGTGTCATGTTCTTTGAAAATGTACCATCTCTGTCATCCCAAAAGATGGAGTGCCAATATTTTTTTAATCTGACACATCAAAAACTGGAGAAAATTTGGTGGAGTATTAGAGTATAAACTGAAATTGAAATATACCTTAAAAAGATTGAAGTTGTATAGCCATGATGTAGAAAAGGGTCTTTGTAAATTAAAAGAACAAAATTACATGGTAAGACAAAGTCAGATTCAGAAAATTAAGTTCATACACCTCAGAATAATTCAGGAAAATGAAAACATGATATAAAATAACAAAAAAAAATGAGTGAATGAATAGAGAGAGAACTAAAATTATTTTTTCCCTTGATGAAAAATACTCTTAATTGCTGCAAACCCTTTATATATCTATATAAGGGTAAGGAGCTATGAATACTATTAAGATGGGAATCTCCCTCACTCACACAAGAGAACCTCACAGATGGACAAAAGCTAGCAAGTTTGGGTTATACCAGATGTACCTCTCTTCACACAAAAAATGCTTTGGAATAGGTCAGAAATAGGACTAAGGTAGGGAGAGTGTACTGCCCTTTCTGAATTCCAGCACGTGCGTTACTTAAAGCAGCTGTGCAGTGCTTTAACTCAGGTCAAGATGGATTCATCTTCAAGTACAGTGTGGTAGTCAGATAAGTGCATTTAATTCCTTCCATCCTCACCTGGCCCATGTCTGAATCTCGTTTGTGCTGTATGTACTTGGAACCTAGGCTAGCTTGTACTGTAACTGTTTCAAAAAGCCAAGCTAAAAGAGCTTACTGCTTTAATCTGATAACCAGCCAACAGCAAATGCATAGCATTTAATGCATTGGCATACAATTAGCATCTCTTTTACAAAATTGAACATTGCTATAAATATATAGGGGAAATCAGTCCCTTGATGCTACAATGTCAGGGTAGATGGGTGTGCTTGTCTGAAAGATCAGGTCCATTCATCTTATAAAAGTAAGAACTAGGGAGCATTTTACAAGACTAATAGCTGACATTATGAAATACTTATTCACATTAAGGAAACAATACTTAATTGTTTCTTTCTAGCCCAAGTATGTTTGCTTTAAGTGTATTGCATACAATGAAGACATGTATTTTTGTAAATTATTGAGTCTTGTAGGCGGGAAGCCCAAAAGCAAAGGGCTCTGTAATTTCCAGGAAAACAGACAATAATGAGAGTTTCTTAACTCACTGTGAGGGTTTAGCAGGAGGGATAAAATCGTTTTCTCCACAAGCCCAGCAGTGGCTGTTTCAGTCTGGTTTCGCTGCTGTCATCTAGCGGAGAGTCAGAAAAGAGGAAAAGCGTTGCAAGCACAGAGGTACAGGTTTGGAGCAATTTGCCTTTCTTTTTTCTTCTTCTTGTTTTTTTGGAGGGCGATTGTCTTTTTATTTGCCGCTCGCGCCGTTGCCATGCGGGATCCTGTGCTGACACCTCGTGGCAGAGCGCGGCCGGCGGCCGGACGGACAGACCCCGCGCCGCCCCGCGTTCGACGGCAACCCGGTCCCTTCGTTCACCTGTTCTCGGTTGCGGATGTGAGACGCTGCTGAAAACTGGAAGGGACAAAAAGGTTTATCCACTGTCTGAGGGAGTGTCTGCCTGGCCGTTGAGAAAGGAGCCTGCTGCAGATGCTGTTATTGCTGCAGATACTGCGCACTTGAGAGGGCGTTCACAAGGAGACAGCACATCCCCTGCCTAAATGTGAGCTGAGCAAATAAACACTAACAACATTTGTGGGTGGGACCCAAGAGATTGACAGACAAACGCTTCTCTTCAAGGGGCATTGGTGGAGCCTCAGTATCCTTTGTACAAGGTGCTTAGTCTAAAACCAGTTAAGGAGACACCCCTTATTTAACCACTTGACGCAATATTGTTACCTGTGCTCTACAAGAAAAATTTTAATTTTTGGTTGGTAAGATTGCTTCTTAGTGATGTCTCTTTTACCTTATTTTTTTTTTTTTTTAATTCATTAGTGACAGAGACTGAAGAACAAAAATCGTCACATAACATTTATAAACTAGAATCAATAGTGGGGTTTGGAGAACAGAATGTATGATGTATTCCACAAGTTCTTTTAAAACTGCATGAACGAAACAACCCTACTAGGTAATGACATTAAAATGGTACATAGGGTGTTTTTCCATGGTAAGTACACTCAGAGGTCTACACTGATTGGTCTCTTCCTAGCCTGAGAGAACGCTTACACATACACTCTTTTTGACTTCAGTAGGAATGAAGCAGGTGCTTAAAGCTAAGAAAGTAGGCACATTTGGATCAGAACGGAAACAAATCTTGGCATGGGTTTTAATCTTTTATTTGAATGGTAATGAGCTCAAATGGCAACAAAGTCTCTCACTTGATAGTCAGTAAAATCTCTAACATGCAACACCAGGCTTATGCACCAATATCTTACTGGCATCTACTTGTAATCACAGAATCATACAATGGTTTGGGTTGGAAGGGACCTTAAAGCTCATCTTGTTACAACCCCCCTGCCATGGGCAGGGACTCCTTCTGCTAGATCAGGTTGCTCAAATCCTTGTCCAGCCTGGCCTTGAACACTTCCAGGGGCGGGGCATCACCCACTTCTCTGGGCAACCTGTACCA